TTCATTGGAAGGACTGATGCTGAAGCTGAAACTCCAATACTTTGGCCACCTGATGCGAAGAGCTGATCCATTTGAAAAGACCCTGATGCCAGGAAAGATTGAAGTTGGGAGAAGGGGATGACAGAGGATGAGATGGTTGGATGGCATCACCGATTCAATGGACATGAATTTGAGTAAACTTCGGGAGTTGGTGATGGACAGGGAGGCCTGGTGTGCTGCAGTCCATGGGGTCGCAAAGAGTCAGACACGACTGAGCGACTAAACTGAACTGAAAACAGCTCCCAAATTTATTGTCCATGTAATCCCTGGATGGCACTTGTACTAATCAGAAAGAAACCTAGGGTTTCTCTTCTTTTTTACCCCCACAGGCTCTGCCTTCATTGGTCCCTAATCCCCCTCTGGCCTCTTGATTCTCTGCATCTTGCCCAGCTTTCTGCTACAGGCTCCCGTCTGTGTCCCCACTTCCTGTTTGTCCTTCAGATCTCTTCCATGTCTTCAAGACCACTTGTCAGTGTCTCAGTTTTTTCCCCACTGCCTTCGAGACTTGATACCCTGAGCTCTTTACCAATGTTCAAAGCCTCAGAGGATCAGGCCTTTTACCTGCATTTCCAGGCTTCCTTCCTCCTCTCTGAATTCTTGGTGTTGCTTTCATTTTGGTAAAACAGCTTTACTGAGATATATTTTACATATCATACTGTTCACCCATTTAAAATGTGTAATTCGTTGTTTTTTAGTCCACCTGCAGGGTTGTGCAACCATCATTGCAATCTGGTTTTAGAACATTTTTGTTCCCACAACCCAGTAGTAGTCACTGCCCACCTCCATCCACTCTAAACCCTCAGCCCTATCCAACCACTAACTGCACTGTCTATAAATCTGTCTATCTCTTATCTTCATAAATTTGCCTATTCTGGACATTTTGCATAAATCCAATCACATCACATATGGTCTTAACATTTTATTTTCTTCAAGCATGTGTGTTTAGAGTCAATTTTTCCTCCATCTGCGTTCTACTTGTTTCAGACTCTAGTCATTAAGAATCCTAAAAGTAAAAAAAAAAAAAAAAAGAATCCTAAAAGTGGTTACCAACTGTTCCTTTGCATTTTGTATCTTTCTGTAGTTGAGTTTTCCATGTACTTTATTGTTATTTTTAAAAAAATTATCAACAGAAGTTATCTGAACAGGGAGATTATCAGCCACTTAATTCTTTAACTCTCTGAAGAGAGGGGAAAAAAACAAAACTAATATGTTCTCAAAAACTCATGTAACATCCCCCAAACCCCTTTTCCTCTGGAACAGGAGTCCCCAGCCTCTGGGATCTCATGCCTGGTGATCTGAAGTGAAGCTGATGTAACAATAATAGAAGTAAAGTGCACAATAAATGTAAATACATATGCATCATCCTGACACCTTCCTGCTTGCCGTCCCCTGGGCTTGTGGAAAACTGTCTTCTGTTAAACCAGTCCCTGGTGCCAAAAAGGCTGGGCACCGAGCCCAAGGAGTTGTCATCCAAAATGCATTCTCAGACCCCACATCCCCCACCAACTGCCACCCTCCTCTCGTCCTTATGGTCAGTGTACCTTTTTATACCGTAGACTTGGACATAGCTTTGTTTTATTTCATCTGCTGTTCTCTTCCCCAATAGACGTAAGCCCCTTAAGGGGCTATGTTCTCGAGTCTCTGGGCAGGTCTAAGGCTTAGACGCAGGTGGTTGTTGTTTAGTCGCTAAGTCATGTCCAACTCTTTTGTGACCCCACGGACTAGCCCGCTGGGCTCCATGGGACTGAACCCATGTCCCTTCGTTGGCAGGCAAACTCTTTACCAACGAGCCATCAGGGAAGCCCTGGGCCCAGGTACATGATGTCCAGTTAAATTTTAGGTGCATTGGAAAACACAAGACAGTGTGTTGTCTGCATTATAATTCTAACTTTTACACTCTGTGTCTAGAGAGGGAGCCAAGGTTCTTTAGTCAAGATCAATGCAGAAGCTGTGGAAATGCAGGTTTCTTTGTATAAAAATATTTGTTCCTATGAGTAGTGTTCACATAAAAGAAAAATGAAAAGTATAATAAAGGATAGAGGTGTGTGATAGACTTTTTTAGAGGTTTGGGGTGGTAGGTTGAAATAAGCCCATGTTTTTTTGAGACAAAAAGTCTGCTTCTCCCCCTTTGAATGTAGGCTGATCTTGGTGGCTTCTTTGATTAGGAGGATAAGCAGAAGTGATGTTCTGGGACTTCTGGGGCTAGGTCATAAGAAGACTTTGTAGCATTTGACAGGCCTCTTGGAGCCCTGAATCACCAGGTAATAAGTCCAACTACTACATGGCCCTTAAACTACCTGGGGAGGGAAGCCAGGGAGAGGGACCAGCTAGGTTCAGCCTTCTAGCTATCCATGCTAAGCCATCTGGGACATACGGACTAGTCTAGCCATCACCTGAACGTTTCCAAGCACTGCCAGTGGTGCTACATGGGGGCAGAAAAATGGCCCAGCTGAGCTCTGCTGGAATGCCTGCTACAGAACTGAGATAAAATAAAATGGTGGGGATTTTAATTCACAAGGTTTTGGGTTAGCTATACAGAGAGCTGCAACATTGGGAATGCTGAGCTTGTGGTTTAACCTCTTTTTTTTTTTTTTTCAGTGCCATGCATTTAGGAACAATATTAGAAGATATTAGATTTTACTGCACCAACATCTATGAAGGTATGCTCACCTGAAAAAGAAATACAATAATCTAGAAAATAATTTAAACTTTATGTTTTTGTAGTTGACTTCTCAAAAATGATGGTATACTCAAGAGCTCTCTTCAGAGTGGTTTTCCAATTTTACCCTCTTTTTTGGACTTTTCCATCAGAACGGTCACTTCTAAAAGTGCTTCCGCATAAGGCTGGACAATGGGATAGGTGGTGACCCATTCATATTCTTTTACTTCCTTTTTCTTCACTTGAGGTTTCAAGAAAGGGGGAGCTTGTGCAGGTATTTTTTGAGCAACTCGTTGACTATTTCTTTTCTCCGTAAGTTCTCTCCCTAGAATCATTCGCTCTTGATGTCCCTTTATCTGTTTCTTTGCCCAGGCCACCCTGTACTGCTTGGCCTTAATTTTGTGTGTTTTCTGGATGTTTTCAGTGTTTTCATCCTTCTTCTGGTTTAATACTTTGTGGGAAGGAATTTCATCTGAGATGCTTTGAGGGAGCAGTTGATAATTGTGGTCTCTGAGGCCTCTGGCTTGTTCAGCTCGGTATATGTGTTTCTGTATCTGGTTCAGCTCTCTCTCGGGCACTAGATAGTGCCATTTTTTAGCATCTTCTTTTTTTTCATTGTGTGGTCTCCTTTCCTTTTCCTCTGTTTTAATTTCCCCTTCTGGAACCATTTTGTGTTTGCATGCTTCTTCCAGCATTTCCTGGTAGTGTTGATAGTAGTATGCCTCTGCTTGGGCAAACCGAAAGTCAAAAGACATGGCCTTAAGTTGATCAAGTCTTTCATTCTCCTGTTGAGTCTTTTCGGCTAACAATTTCCTCACCTCTGAAGAATGGACACCACCTAAACTCTTGTCAAAGGGAAGTATTAGAACTCTTTTAAGTTGGCTGTCCTTTATTATCTAAACAGAATTGACACAGTTCTCAGTTAGCCATTAGCCCTGCCTGGCACCCTCACACTATGTCCCAGTTAGGGTCTTGTAACTGCTTCCTGTCTTCCTCTTCAAGACCCCTCCCCTCCCCTCCCCCTGCATTCCCTTACATCCTTGAAAAACCAGAAGCAGGCCCTCAGGAACTCCTCCCACTGCAGGAACAACCCCATGCATCTATCTTGGACTCTGCCTCCTGCCCTTTCACCTATCAAAAGCCAGTTCCGGGACTTCGCTGGTGGTCCAGTGGTTATGAATCTGTCTGCCAATGCAGGGGCACAGGTTCGATCCCTGGTCTTGGAAGACCCCGCATGCTGTGGGGCAGCTAAGCCTGGGCACCCTAGAGCCTGTGCTGTGCAACAAGAGAAGCCACCACAATGAGAGGTCTGTGCACTGCAACAAGAGTAGCCCCTGCTCACCGCAACTAGAGGAAGCCCGCGTGCAGGCAAAAAAATAAACGTCAGTTCTTCCACCTCCGTTTGTTGAGCTTCGAGAACTTCAGTTTACAACGATCAAATTCCCTTCCCTGCTTCAAAATTTCCTGTCTACTGGATCAATCCATCAGCATAAAATTATGCCTTCGTATATATCATCTTCAAACAAAAAGAGGAAAATGCTTCCTCTACTGCCCGTCCCCTCTTTTGCTCCCCTTCACTGTGTAACTTGAAGCAGTTACCGCTTAAGTTTGGCTTCCACCCTCCCCCCACCCCCTCGTCTGGGTCACCAGTGATCTTGTTTTTGTGGCTGTCACGTGAGCCTCTCAGCAGCATTCTCCAGAGGGGACCACGCTCTCCTCCTTGGAATACTTTACTTCCAGGCTGTAGCCGAGGGCATCTGACTAAGGCTACGCTGGACCCCTGCGCTACTCCAGCCCTTAGCCGAAAGTCCCCAAGTAACCGAGTGGTCCCTCATCCTCTTCCTACCTCATGGCCACCCCCTCCACCTGCTTCACTGATTGCCTTCTACATGTAATGGAGCAAAGTGTAGCAGAGAAACTCTACTTAGGACAGAGAACAGTCACATTCGCGCTTCCTTGGACCAAGACAGACAGTCTTGATTATTCAATGAGTGATGTACCGTGCGTCTGGCACTGGAGTGGGAGTGAGGGGTGAGCGAGACCGTCGGGGCACACAGGCTGCTCGGAGCTCACCTCCGCTTCACCTGGATACTGCCTACTTCACAGCCCCACGCGTCTCTTCCCCCACAGTGCTTCCTTCAGTCTTCCCCTCTCAGTCCTGTCCCTTCTAACTTCAAAATGCCCCCACCCTAGAGGGCAGCAGCCTCTGATTAGCTTCCCTGAATCCACTTCTCTCCCTCTGTCTCCAGCCCCATCAGACCAGCTTGATCTCTGTGTTACATAAATCTGAACACACCACTTTTCCTGCACAGAAACCTGGGAGAGCATCTTACTGCTTTGGGAGAAAAATCACCAGCTCCAGGGTGGCCTCGTAAACTGCTCTCTGATCACGGCTCTGAACAGGTCCTCAGGCGACTCCCTGCTCCCTCTGCTGCAGCCACACTGACTCCTCTGTCCCCAAACGCTTTCCCATCGGACTCTTTCCAGTTGTTCTTTCTTCATATACTCTCAGACACAAAATATAGCAACTCTGACTGGGGTACATGTGTATATGTTATAGTTTTTAGGTTTTAGCCTAAGGGTCACTCCTTCAGACCTATAAACTCATTCAAATAAAATAAAATTCCTTTCATGACACTTCTCACAATCTGCTGCCACTATCTGTTTAATGTCCGCATCCCTCACTAGACTAAGCCCTTATAAGGGCAGAGTGTTTATTTTCTTCATTGCTGTCCAGCCAGCACCACCGGTGCTCAATGAATCAAACAGTACAAGCAGAGCATGCTCCCTTGAATTACCTGGGCCCTTTTTACCTGGGTGGTACATTTTTATGATTCTATGACTGGCTCCAATGTTCATGGTAAATACATTTCCTCACCTTAATCTTCTTTTCTAATGGGGAGTGGGAACCTACTGCAATCCGAGGGTCTTGAATATTTTTGGCCCAGGCCAATCTAGAAGAGCAAAAAGAGAAATTATACTAGGACTTGGAGGAAGGTCTTGGGAAACATGCTCTGGTATGAATGGTAATGTGAAGTGATTTGGGGATTCACTTTTAACATGTAGCAAAAGGTGTTTCTGTGTGTCAATAGGCAAGGCTCTACAATATGTTTAAATTTTTTCTTTCCTTGAATCAAGGAAGAAATGCTCTTTGGTAAAAGCATAAACAAAGAACCAAATTGGGTCTGAGGCTGAAGCTGTCAACAGTACATTTACCAGTGGAGAGAGGCTGAGTTACGATTTCAACTTCCCCAAACCATGGTTTGTGTATATTGTTAGTAGAACAGAGAACTTGCCTCTGATGAGAAGTTGAGTTTTCAAAATTGTTAAGTCCATTTTAAGTTCACTTATGCATGAGGTGATGAACAATAAATTTAATCTATAAGCTATCATTAATTTCTAATAACAGCTACCTAACTATAACATTTCATTAATCTTGTGAAAGATTTACAGTTTAAATAGATAATAAAACAACCTGACAGCAAGAAAGGGTTGTTTTTAATTTAGTGCAGAAAAATAAAGCAGAGACATTTACCACTGATGATAGAGCACAATCACATTTAGGCATCCTTAAAACCTGTTTCTTAACCTGCTCACTTAGCAAACAGGGTTCTCTGTTTAGCAACCTGGGTTGTAAATATTGTTTCTCTGACTTCTCTTAGCAAAAGAGAAGGATTTTATAACGCAGAACTAGAAAAAAAAACACTATTTGCTATTTAACTTCTCAAAGACTCATTTCTGTTTTCAATTTTTTCTTTCTTAAGCAATTCTTATACTATTTCCATAACAACATTTTAGAGTTTATCATACTCTAGGCATTGTACTAAGAATGCAAATAGATTCCTTTACTTAGTCTTCCAAACAGCCTTATTATCCCCCATTTCATGGCCAAGTGGACTGAGGTGAAGAGAGGTTCAGTGACCATTAAAGGTCCCATGGTTTGTTTCAGAGGTGGGATGTGTCTGTGTGACTCCAGACCATGTCTTCTTTCCTGTGCTGCACCCATCCCCACACAAATGATACTCTCCTGCTTTTACTCAAAAAGTAAGGACAGTAATACCTACTGTTCTTCTGCACTCAGAGCCAACCATTCTGAGTCGGTCACCAAAGGAGGCTGTGAGGGTTGGGTCTGCACTGCCAGCTGCTCCTTCCGCAGCCCCCCATTGTACCTTCTCCTCTGAGCATCCCTGGTTACTTCCATTGTTCCTAGGGCACCAGGCTGTTTATCTTTGGTGTCTTTTGCCTCAGCCATTGCCCTATCAATCGCCAGCTTTACAAGCAACATCTCTGCTCTTCACTCTTCTTCTCTTGGTGTCCTCTTCTCTCAGCTCTAATCTCCCATTCTCAATTCTGCAAAGTCCTGTTTTCCAGCCATTAAAGTTTCTGGCCCTCTTGCAGACTTTTCAGCTACCTACTGTTGATCCTTCAGGATGCCTTGGTCCGATTTCTAGGGCAACCAGAAGCAGTCACAAGCTTTTTTTGTGTCATCACTATCCTAGATTGAAACTACTGTGAGGTGGCAGGTGGAGACAGCGTCTGCTTGGCAGGACATGAGCTTTAGGGAGAGCTGGGCTAAATGGCCACAGACAGAAAGTAGAAGGGCCTGTGTTTTACACAGAGAAGTGTCCCAGTTTAGGGCAGTTAGAGAAAGCATCTTTTGAGGCAACAAGAGCTTCTTTCTCCTTTTGGAATATATATTGTGTACCTTCCATAGAAATGGAATTGTGGCGTCGGTGGAGAACCCTGGAGTGGATACTGTAGGCACACTCACAGCAGCAGGAGGAGGTTGGACAAGTGCAAAGGTGGGTAAGTGGCGCGGTCTCATTATTACTTAGCTGGCTGTCACTCACCTAAATACTGTTCCTGCAATGAAGTTTTGAGCTCTGATACTGTTTAATATACTTCTAGTCATATACTATTTAATTATTAATATGTTCATAACTGGTCACTGAAGAAGCAAAAAAGGCACCAATGTTGAAATAACATTAATGAAAATGACTCTGCATAGTCACATCAGGATACCCTTCACCATACATGCGAGCGGCATCCATTCAAACAAAGTCCTCGTGGAGCCCATTATGACCTCTCTAGTTCTTTAAAAAAAAAAAGTGAAAAGGAGAAAATACAGTGATTAATTACAACCTGGCTTTTTGTTTGTTCAGTAGAAATAAAACCTACCACTTCTAAAACGTGCTGTTTGTAGAGATGTGCTTGAAACCATAGCCTCCAACTCAATCAGTAGTAAATGAGTTAAAAAAGTAAATATGGGTATTTGATGCTCAAAAAATAATCAAAGAATTTCAAACATCAAGTCATGAAAGTATTTTATTACTGTTTATCTTTCCGTGTCCCTTTAATCTGTGTTTTGGCATTTCCTGTAAACATTGTTGGGTCTCATTTTTTATCCAGTCCAATAGTCTTTTTTAACTGTTCTATTTAGACCACTGGTGTTTAAAGTGATCACTGATATAACTGGATTAGTATCTACCATATTTGTTGCGGTGTTCCACTTGTTGCTCTTGCTTTACGTTACTTTTGTCCTCCACTCTTACTCTGCCTTCAGTTCAGCTGCTCAGTTCTATCAGATTTTGCAACCTCATGGACTGCAGCATGCCAGGCTTTCTTTTTTTTAAAAATTTTTTAAATTTTGTTGATTTTTTTTTATAGGCTAATTACTTTACATCATTACAGTAGTTTTTGTCATACATTGAAATGAATCAGCCATGGATTTACATGTATTCCCCATCCCAGTCCCCCCCTCCCACCTCCCTCTCCACCCGATCCTTCTGGGTCTTCCCAGTGCACCAGATGCATTCCCACCAACAGTGTAAGAGGGTTCCCTTTTCTCCACACCCTCTCCAGCATTTATTGCTTGTAGACTTTTGGATAGCAGCCATCCTGACTGCACGCCAGGCTTTCTTGTCTATCACCAACTCCCAGAGCTTGCTCAAACTCATGTCCATCAAGTCAGTTATGCCATCCAACCATCTCATCCTCTGTCATATCTTGCCTTGTCATCCTTGTAGTATTTTGCCATATCTGGTATTAATTAAACATTTTATGATTCTATTTTTTTTCTCCTCTCTTAGCATAACAATTATATTTTGTTTGCTTTTTTAAATGGTTGTCATTGAGTTTGCAGGATATATTTACAACTAATCCAAGTTCTTTTTCAAATAGCTACTATACAGGCATTTCAGGTACCTTTTTATAACAGTATTCACAGTTCCTACCTGGTGGTGGTTTAGTCACTAAGTCATGTCCAACTCTTGTGACTCCATGGACTATAGCCCGCCAGCCTCCTCTGTCAATGGGATTCTCCAGGCAGGAATACTGGAGTGGGTTGCCATTTCCCTCTCCAGGGGATCTTCCTGACCCAGGAATCGAACCCTGGTCTCTTGCACTGCAGGTGGATTCTTTACCGACTAAGCTATGAGGGGAGCCCTCGTAGTTCCTGCTTCCTATCCCTTAAAACACGGCTATCATTCATTTCACTTATCTATAAGCTTGCACCCTGTATTATTATTTTAACTAAAAAATCTGTTATCTGTCAGATCAAATAAGATTTTGAAAGATTAAAAATTGATTTTACCTCTCCATTTATTCCTTCTCTAATGCTTTTCTTTTAAAAGTAGGTCTGAGTTTCTGACCTATATTATTTTCTGTCTTTCTGGGGAATTTCTTAAACATTTCTTGCATATCAGATCTAGTGGTGACAAATCCCCTCCATTTTTCTTTGAGAAAGTCTTCTTTTTCACATTTGAAGGATAATTTTGCTGGAAACAGAATTCTAGGCTGGTGGTTCTTTTCCTTTCAATACTTGAAATATTTCACTTCCCTTTCTTCTTGCTTGCATGGTTTCTAACAAGAAGACTGATGTAATTCTTATCCTTGCTCCTCTATAGATAAAAATTTTTCCTCTCTCTGGCTTTTAAAAGGATTTCTTTTTGTCTTTGAGAATTTGTTTTGAAGATTCTGCAGTTTGAACATGATATGCCTACATGCAGGTTTTTGGCATTTATCCTGCTTGTCTGTACTGCCTCAATTTAAAAATCCAAATAAATTTAAATAAAAGTTGTTTCCCTGTCACACTACCCACATTTTAGGTGCTCAGTAGGGACATGTGGCTAGTGGTTACCAGTGCATACGTGCATGTATGCTAAGTTACTTCAGTCGTGTCTTGACTGTGTAACCCCAGGGACTGTAGCCTGCCAGGCTCCTCTGTCCATGGGATTCTCCAGGCAAGAATACTGACTGGAGCGGAAACGTCTAGAAGAGGAGGGAAGGAGTCTAACCTTAGGTCTCCTGGCAGTGAGTGCCCCACAGAGGAGTGTCTCTAGGACTCCACCCTTCCCTGAGACGCTTGGTGCTCATACCTAGCTCCTCGCCTCTGCTCATAGCACAGCTCTTTCCTGGCATGTCCCTCTGTATTTCACTGCACACCCCTCCCAAACTTGCTGTCTACTCAACAACACTTTATTCAAAGAAACACATTTATTTTTTAAAATTTCAGTTAAATCATTTAGCTTTTATTTTGGTTGTGCTGGGTCTCTGCTGCTGCACAAGGGCTTCCTCCAGCTGTGGAGAGCAGTGGTTCCTCTCCAGTTGTGGTGCACAGGCTTCTCACTGCAGTGGTTTCTCCTGTTGCAGAGCATGGACTCGAGGGCACGCAGGCTTCAGTAGCTGTGGCTCTCGGGCTCTAGAGAGCACATGGGCTTAGCTGCCCCATGGCATGTGGATGAAGGACTGAAACTGTGTGCCCTGCACAGGCAGGTGGATTCTTAACCACTGGACCACCAGGGAAGTCCCACATTTCAATTTAATGCAAGAATCATGGGTCTATCACCATGCAGAGTCCTTCACGTCATTAGTGCCAAGGGTCAAACCTCACTCTTAAGTTTCATAAACTCAATTTCACACTCAGTTTATATAAACTGTTAATGGAACCAAACATGCTAGTGTTGCCAGCAATTTATTGTCAAGTATGAAAGTTAAAAACAAAGACAACTATCTATAATTGGCAGTTTCATAAATAAAAGGACATTCTAATAGTGCCCTCTTCCAACTCCCCAAACCTCTGCCCCAAGATGGAAACTAAATGAAACTTTGCATTATTTTTCTCATTGGGGCCTGAAGGATGAAAACTTTGTGTCTAGTGAAGTTGCTCAATCGTGTCTGACTCTTTGCAATCCCATGGAATTTTCCAGGCAAGAGTACTAGAGTGGGCCATTTCATCCTTCAGGGGATCCTCCCGACCCAGGGATTGAACCCAGGTCTGTTGTGTGACACAAGTCCAAACCTAGTATTTGTCGATCTCTTTTCTTCTTCAATTAATTTTTTAAAATCACCTTTTCCTCCTATTTGTCTTTTACTAGTTGTATGATCTTGGGCAAGTCATATGGCCGCTCTGGCCTTCGTTTCCTTTGTTGTCCAGAAAGGGCAAGAAATAATCACTTTGCTGTAATAAAATGGACAAGGTCTGTCTTTAAGAACATGGGTACTGAGATCTAGCAAGTAGCCTTTAAATCTAAGGAGTTGGAGAAGCTGGATAAAGCTAGGGTCTTTCTGCAACTACACAGCTATCCTTAGGCTTTTTTTTTCTCATTGTGTGAGGCACAGGTGATGCTTAGCAATGTAACAGCAATATGACCTCTTAACAGGCACATAGCCAGCACAGTGGGCCTTGGGGTCAAGAATGTTGAAACTGACTTCAAAAGTTTACCTGTTTCTCCAAGTTTCATGATTTCACCTTTTTAAACACTGTAAAAAGATGACCAACTTTATTGCCAACAGGGGGAAAACATAAGGACAGACTGGTTTAAATTATTTGCCTATACAGAGTTAAAGATTAAGGAATACTACTTAGTTGAAGGCAGTCACTCATTCTTATATTTTACTTCTGGACTGTTACTGTTTGAAAAATCCCCTTTAAAATAGTGGTTGCAAACTGGAGACCTGTGCACTGAATTCAGCTTTTATACATGCTGTGTTTGGCCTGTACAGTTAAAAAGTTCTTTTAAAATAACATTTAATAGCTGTACTAAGGGAAAAAAAAATCTGACTTTCACCTTCTGTTTGAAAATTGCAAGATACGGCAGCACTGGGGACAAGACAGCAACTGGCTCTGACATCTGTCTTCTTTAAAAGAGGGAAGAGTTCAATTCACCTACCCTGCCAATCCACAGAACACCTACATGTATACTCCAACCTAGGGGATATTTACTAAGTACCTGTTGGTTTGGAAGACGCTAGAATTGGCGAGGACAGTCTGAGATGTTAACTTTTAACCTGAGATCTGCAGGATCTAGAAATAGTGATCACAACCCCTGTTCCTCAGTTTCCTTATGTGTCAACTGAGGCTGACAACGTGCAGTTGTGGGAAGGATCAGCGATGGAGTAATTGCAAAGGGCTGGCTTGAACTTGGGGTCCCGGACTCGGGGTCCCCGGGGGTGGGCACCGCTACAATCCACGCTCATCCTGGGAGACCCCTGGACCCAACACCGACGGGGGGCCCCTAGGCGCTGGGACCCATCGCACCTGCTTCGCTCTCCACTCCTCCCCGCCGTGGGCCCCCGCGCTCCGCAGAGGTCGGCCCCGGGGCGTCGAGAGGCGTGGCCGGCCCGCGCGAACCTAGAGGCAGCCATGGCCTCGATGGTGGAGTACAAGGGACTCAAGGCCGGCTACCGCTGCGGCTACTGCGACTCCGAGGAGGGCAAAGCGTCCTGTGGTGAGTGGTCCGGCCAACGGGGTCGGCGCGGCTGCCTCGTGAACAAACCCCCACAACGCCCGTCGCGCTTCAGGCTAGGCCCTCGCGGGGGGGAGCACCCAGGCCCAGTCCCCAGCTCCCGCTTCCCTTCCCCACGCGTTTCTTCCCAGACCGTTGCCTTTCATAGTCTCTCGGTCTCACTCTTACCGAAGATGGCGGTCTCTTTCGGAGAAAGAGCGGAAATAGCGGAAGGCTGCCCTCGGTCAAGATGGCGCAGGCGGCTTCAGCGCCGAGGACGCTCTCGGCGAGGCTAGGCCTGCTGGCGCCCGGGCGGCGCGGTGCATTGTGGGGTGGCGGCGTCGGCGGTGGGGTTGGGTTGGGCCGTGCCTCGTTTGAGGGGCCGGGGCCATGGCGTCCTGGGCTGCGCTTTCGCCCAGCATCGTGGAATATTTCGAGGGCGAGGACTTCTATCGCTGCGGCTACTGCAAGAACGAGTCGGGCAGTCGCTCCAATGGTGAGCGGGCCGGGCTGGTGGGCGGGGAAGGGAGCCGGTAGCTCGGCGGCGGGCTGGTGTCCTCGGGGGGTCGCGGCGTCTCGGGCCGAGTGGCTGGAGGGTGGTGTCCTCGCAGCGGCCCAGGCGTAGCCCCTGCGCCGTCCGGCCTTCGTGGAGCGAATGCGGAACGCGGTTCTCCCTGAGTGCCGTGGCTGTCAGAATTTGAAGATGGACCTCACCCCTGATGGAGCAGGGAAGCTTCTAGAGGCTCATTTTTCACACCCGCGGTCGGACTTGCGAGATAATTTGCGTCTCGCAGGAGCCAAGTGTGGAAACAGGTGTCCGTCATCAGTGGGAGACCGTTAAGTACACGCCTGTCTGGCTGACCTGTGATTTCAGATGCTGTTGTCGGGGTGTTCCCGGTGGTCAGCGCAAGACTCGAGGCTGAGGAACGATGAGTGTCGGGTACTGTCTGTGTAGACAGAGTGTGTGTGTGTGTGTGTGTGTGTGTGTGTAAAACACGTGAGTGGATATACGTGAATAAAATGTCCCTGGAGAAATATATAAGAAACTGACGGTAGCCGCTGCTTGCGAGGGGCCCCTGTTCGTACTATTGGGCTTGAAAATGGTACCAGGTGCTTGTTGTCATTTCTCCACCCACCTCGGTGACCACGACAGAGCCAGCCTACAGTGCCCCCTCCCGTGATTCAAGTTTCTTCCCGAAGAATTTTTGTTCGTTTGTAAACAGAACGTCATGTTTATTTCTTGCAGTGTCATGCTTTGGCAAAAGTATATGCACTTATTTTAAAGAATAATCTATCATTGTCGGAAATGGGATATCCATGGAGGCTTAAATTTGGGTGGTTTCCTTATTAAAAAAAAAAATTGTCCTGTCCTGGGGCAGTGATTTGGGCGATGATGGTGTGTCCCTGTATTCATTAAGTAAAAATGTTTATTTTCTTGTGGGTGAGAGGCGGTAGAATGTAGTATAACGCAGTCGTTAGCGACAGTTAAGAAGATGAGTTAAGTGAAAAAAATTTATAGTCTTGGGTTAAACGGAGGAAATAAGAAGGATGCAAATACTGGGTGAGATGATTACAGCCCAGGGAGGGAAAAAACCCGTAGGGTGACAGTGACTGCCTTAGGGTATTAGAGGTTTTTTTCTCTTCTCTGTTTCAAATTTTAGTGTTACGATTATAATACATATGTAAGAAATTTATATTATAATGTAGATTTATTATATGTTATAAAAATACAGTCCATGGACTTCTCCTGGCCAGAATATTGAACTGGAGTGGATAGCCATTCCCTTCTCCAGGGGATTTTCCCAATCCAGGATCAAACCCAGATTTCTTGAATTGCAGGCGGGTTCTTTACCAGCTGAGCTACCAGGGAATCCCATATGTAACATAATTTGTGTTATACATGTCCAAAATTAATATTAGGTCCTTAACTATTTTCCTAGTAATTTTAGTAAAAGAAAGTCAATTAATATAGATGTCCTTTGTTTAGTTTTGTGGAAAGAACCTACTTTCAACCTTTTCATCTAAAGAGATACCTGTAAATTTCTATCAGTTCTATCATCTTGTTTTTAATTTTAATAGTAATCTTTACTATAGGGCACTCCACCTATTAGGTAGGAAGGTTTTATTATTCCCATTTTACAGATGAGGAAATTAAGCCTCATAGAGTAACTTAGTGTCAGTGAGCGCCACCCAGGCTTCTGACATTTCTGTTGTATTTATGCCCTTGCTTTTCTCTTTACATTCTGTTCTATAAAGCCTATCTCTGTCTTTATGTACTTTTGATGCAGTTTATTGTTTACAAGAGTAAAATCCAACTTTCTTTACCATTAATTCAGTTTTTTCTCATAATCTTCATTTTTTTCATGGTTGCATAATTTTTTCATCCTGTTGATAACAAATTAGTCTCTGTAATCACTTTTGTGTTCAAAAGCATTTGGATTACTTTCATTTTTTTATGTTTAAAAGGAATATTGCTGTATGTATACTTCTGTCTTATTTTCAGTGTGTAAGACTATGCTGTAAACAAAATAAGGAGAATTTATATGCACAAGAAAACATTTTCTTTTTAATTCTTCTGAAGAGACCAGCTTATTAAATTATTGGGGTCATTGTTATGGCTTAAAGGTACAATGTAATTTGCAGTGAGATCTTAAATTTATGATGTCACAGAAACTGTTGACCAATCCTTAAGTGCATGTGATCACTTTCTGTGTTTTATTTTTAAAATTAAGATTAAATACATCATGTCCTTCATTTGTGTTGTGTATTGTTTTAAACTAAAAAGTACTAAGTATATGCAGACTTTGATTTCTCCAGTGTGAGCTGGATTTTTTTGCTTCCATATTCACATTTTAAAAATAATGCTTTGAATATAGAAAAGTAAAAATACCACCTGTTGTTATGAACATGGCACTTATTTTTCAGGCATGTGGGCACATTCAATGACTGTGCAGGATTATCAGGATCTCATAGACCGAGGATGGCGAAGGTAAATGTCCTTAGTGTAAAGTTCCTTCTGGGTACTCAGGTTTTTCTTATAATTGAAACATATTATTTGCCTTTTAAATGTCTTCCTGTTGCTGGAAATAGGTTTAATAAAATTTTTATTACATTTTGTATGTACAGATTGTTTTCTCCTTTTAAGGATGTTGGGCTTCCTTGGTGGCTCAGATGGTAAAGAACCCACCCGCAATGTGGGAGACCTGGATTCGATCCCTGGGTTGGGAAGATCCCCTGGAAAAGGAAATGGCAACCCATTCCAGTATCCTTGCCTGGAGAATTCCATGGACAGAGGAGCCTGGCGGGCTATAGTCCATAGGGTCACAGAGAGTTGGACACGACTGAGCGACTTTCACTTTAAGGATATTTATTAGGAAAATTTCACAGATGTAGAGAGAACATTGTAATGAACTTCATGTACTAATCACCAGGCATCAGCAGTTGTTAACATTTTGCCAATCGTTTCATCAGTTTTCCTTGCTCCCTTCAATGGACTGAATGTGTCTCCCCCTGAGTTCATATGTTAAGTCCTATATGGAGGTAGGGCCTTTGGAAGGTGATTAGGTTATGAAGATGGATGGGATCATGAATGGGATTCTAGTGCCTTTATAGAAGAGACCACAGAGAGTTCCCTTGCCCCTTCTGCCACGTGAGGATATGTAGAAAAGATGAACCAGAAAGCTTGTCTTCACTCGACGACATTTCTGTTGGCACCTTGATCTTGGACTTCCCAGCCCCCAGAACTACCAGGAATACATTTCTGTTGTTTATAAGCCACTCAGTCTATGGTATTTTGTTATAGCAGCTTCAGTGGGATGAGATATTCCCCGCTCCCCTCCTCCCACAAAATTATTTAAAACAAATTTCAGATATCATGTCATTATACTTGTACTAAATATGTGTTTCTAAGAGAGAAGGATTTTTTTCTCTTTCTTAACATATGCTCAATATCATTACCATACTTTCCAATTTAGTGATAATTTGATGTCACCTGTTACCTAGTTTTGAGATTTTCTGCTCATCTCAAAAAATTTTCTTTTACAGTTGGTTTATTTGCATCAGGATTTCCTTAGGTCCACACCTTGCCTTTGATGGCCATGTTTTATTGGCAGCTATTTTTGAGTAGATGATTTTGGCATAACTATTAGGCAAGGCTCCTTGTGTAAATATGAGCAGTATTAAGTGCCGTGTACCACTGCTGCCCAGAGGACATGGATTGAGCCCAGCAAATGAAACTTCATAGCTTTCCTTAAACATAAGAATGAGGCCCAAAATGTGGATAGATGTAGGTCAGATGTGGCAGGACTTTGTGTGCCATGATAAGGAGATTTAGTTTTTGTTTTTTTTTTTATTAATGGTACAGGGGAGCTATTGAAGGCTTTTGTGTCAGAGAGAAAAGTGATGGAATTTGAGATCTGGAAATGATGATTCAGATAGCAGAGAGGTGTCTGAGGGAGTGATTCTGAAGGCAGGAAAATGAGTCCCAGAGATTACTGCAGTGTCCAGGTGTGAGGTGGTGAGGAGCTGCTGTCCTAGTCAGTAGCGGTGACTGTAGGTTAGGAGCTGGATCGGAGGGGACAGACTCACGAGACGTTTTGGAAGTAGAACGCTTGCTGGCAGCAAATGGAGGTGCACGGGAGGGGAGAGCCTAGGAAGACTCCCAGGTTTTCGGCTTGGGAACTGAACTCCTGTGTGTTTGCTAGGACTGCCGTAACAGAACACTACAGTTTGGGCTGCTGGAGCGAGAGAAATGTATTTTCTCATGGTTCAGTAGGCTGGAAGTCCAGAATCCAGGTGTTCACAGCGTTGGTTTGTCCTGAGGCTTCCTTCTCTCCTTGCCTTACACCTGGTTGCGTTTTTGCTGTTTCCTCACGTGGTCCTTTCTGTGTGTGTATCTGCTGTTTTGTTTAGTGTGTCTTTTTAGAACACTCATCTGTTTATTTTTGGCTGTGCTGGGTCTGTCGTTGCGGTGGTCAGGGGCAGCTCTCTTGCCACAGTGCCTGGCTTCTCACGGTGGCGACGTCCCCTGTGGCGCCCAGGCCCTGAGGCCCTCAGCCCTCAGTAGTTGGGCTCCGGCTCCAGAGCAGCGACTCAGTAGTTGTGGCGTGTGGGCTTAGTTGCTCCTGGCATGTGGGATCTTCCCGGATCAGGGATCGAATCCATGTCTCCTGCATTGGCAGGAGGATTCTTTATCACTGAGCCCCTAGGGAAGCCCTGATGGTTCTTTTTATGTCCAATTTCCTTTTGTGATAAGAACACCAGTCAGGTTGGATTAGGGCATATGCAAATCTGGAAAAAATTTGATCTTGTAGTGCCATGGCTCTGCATCAGCTGAGATCCAGAAATCTTGGAAAGGATCAGGTTGGCTTGGGAGTCCGTCATGCTGGTGCCTGTGGAACCCCCACGTGTGGATGTCGTAGGCAGCAGCATGCATCAGTATCAAGGGTGGGCAGTGGATGGAGGCATGGAAGGGATTGCAGATGCTTGATGAGAGGGTAACCGAGGTGATCAGTTGTGGAGTACATATGTCAAGGTTTGGGAAAGGAAAACCTGGACTCTGGTCCTTGGATTACACACCATGTAAGATCATTTAGCTTGTGAAGAGTAACTCAGCCTCAGTATTTTTATACTATTGATTAGATTTTTACCTTAATTAATTTTGTGCTCCTGTACCAATCCACTTTGCTGCCTATGAGAAATGTGTATGAAATTAACAAAACTATTCTATAATTTTAGAAGCGGGAAATATGTGTACAAACCTGTCATGAATCAAACATGTTGTCCTCAGTACACCATAAGGTAAGAATTTTGATTAATATATTCTATTAATATGAAGGTTATATATACTTTTTTAGTAGAATTCTGCTTTTTCAAGTGTATTTCTGTTCTAGGTAGACATTCTTTATAAAGAAGAGCAGACAAGTTTTTTCTGTATACTGATGCTATATTCATATGCTGATTGGTAGCTTTTAATAATGTGATTAGTTCAGATACAAATATTAATGTGATATAAAATATACTATTTAGCAATCTAATCAATAATACATGAAATATTGGGAGAATATTGGCAAATACTTAAATTACTTTTAGATATCAAATTTTTATCACTTTAGCTTGGGGTCGCTAAGAGTTGTGCATGATTTAGCGACTGAACAACAACAGCAGCAACAATTCCAATGCTCTTGTGTATTATTTGACAGTGGTTTCATTCAGACAGTGCTGCAGAATCCTGTATAAGGAATAAGGAAGAGGAGGCTGGCACTTAACCTGCATCTGTTTAGAGCCTAGTCATCACTGGAAAACCCAAACTAAAAAGTCTGGTTTCCTACAGAGTGTTTGCTTGGTTTTTCTTAATATTTTCTGTTTCTGTTGTGCCCCCTCTTACTCCACCCTAACATGGGAGGATTTTTCCCTTCTTCTCTGATTAGGAAGGTCCCTCCTCTTCTCCCTCATTATCTTCTTCCCCTCCCCCTTCCTCTTCTCTTTCCCCTCCCTCTTCCCCATCTTCTGGTAGGAAAAATAAGGAAAGTTTGTTAACATTGTGGAGAGCATGTCTACAGTTTCAACCTATATGTATACTCTAGATAAAGCAACACAGTGGTGTCCATCATGCTTGGTGGGCCGTCACATCTGTCCCTTAGTTACTCTTAACGTGTTTTGAGGTTGTAGACTCTAGTGAGAATTTGATAACAGAACAAAACGGGGAACATATAGACAAAAATAATGTAACATTGAACATACTAATTTTAGGGTGATCACTGACTTTCAAAATTCACTGATTCCTGGTTAATCCTGTCTCTTTTCTAACTGGTCAAGGTACTGGTATGATAAAGAAAAAAGATAACTACCTAGTTTGCTCACAACATCTCATTTAGTGTAAAATTGTGACAAAGTATCTCTTTCAGCTTTAGCCTTTATGAAGTGGTAATGTCTTCAAAGACAGAAATCATTTTCCTTCAGATAACAGTTTCTCATTGGATTATGGTTAGGATTCTTTTGAAATAAGTCTGAAGTTGATTGGCCTGAACCTCGAGAATCTCTATTCAGAAAAGGCCCGTTTCAGTGGGTTACAGAAAAAGATAAAAGCATCTACAATTTATTGGGCTCCTGTCTCATACAAAGCACTGTTTCAGGTGTGTTGCTTTTATGAAAAGGGACTCAATGAACATTGCAAGACAAAGTAATTACAAAGTGTGATTTTTTTTTTTTTTTTTTTTTGCATTTTATAATTTTACATGGGATCAAACATTTCCTGAAGGGACCTCCCTGGTGATCCAGTGCCTAAGATTCCAAGCTCCCAATGCAGGGGGCCCCAGTTTGATCCGTGGTCAGGGAACCTAATCCCACATGCTGCAACAAAAGATCCTGAGTGTCACAGCTAATACCTAGTGCAGCCAAATTAAAAAAAGAAATTTCCTAAATTGTTATTCCTTATACAACTTCATTTTTACATGTTGATTTTTTTGGAGTCGTTTTGCATATTCTTTGGGTTGTTTTGCTGTTTACTATAGTAGTTGTGCAGTGAGGCCTTAGGTAAATGCAGTGTGGTCTAGCCTGTAACTTTGATTTTTGTTAGGCAGATGCTAGGGCCTGTCCAGTATGTGAATAAAAGTGAGGATGAACTTCCCTGTCTATGAATTATTTTTTCGATTTTAATTTTTATTAATATCATATTTGCTAACACTTTAAAGAATCAAATAGTTCCCGTAAAGCTTATTTTGCAAAATGGCAGTCCTCTGAACCACTCCCCTCCCCTCCAATTCCTATTTTCTGTTTCTCATTGCAGTCACTTTCAAACGTTTTAACTGATTCTTTTGTTTTTTCATCTCTATGTCTTTAAGTAACATGCTTATGCTTCAGTGGTAGCTCAGGTGGAAAAGAATCTGCCCGCAATGCAGGAGACCAGGGTTCAGGGAATGGCTTCCCACTGCAGTATTCTTGCCTGGAAAATTCCATGGACAGAGGAGCCTGGCAGGCTACAGTCCATGGGGCTGCAAAGAGTCGAACAGGACTGAACAACTTTCACTTTCATTTTTATATAGTAATACTTGATTATTAAAAGGTTGGTTTTCTCCATTATCTCTGGGCTTCTCTCTCTGAAAGATAAGGGTTTAACTTTATTTTACCCCACTTCCCCTTGTCACATTCACACTCCTATTTGTCTTCATCCCCAACTTCCCAAATTAGAAATGTTATCCTTTTGGATGGATGTAGTCATCTCATTATGGCTGTGTAAATAGACTTCACACCTCAGCCATGTAGTTGCTGTTCAGTCTTTAAGTCATGTCCAACTCTTTGCAACCCTGTGGACTGCAGCACGCCAGGCCTCCCTGTTCTTCACTATCTCTTGGAATTTGCTCAAACGCATGTTCATTGAGACGATGATGCTATCCAACCATCTCATCCTCTGTCATCCCGTACTCCTCCTTCCCTCAATCTTTCCAGTATCAAGGTCTTTTAAATGAGTCAGCTCTTCGCATCAGGTGGCCAAAGTATTACTTTATCTTTCCTGCACAAGTTTTTACTTTCCCTGGTGTTGGCTCATTGTCATTTTTGTTTACTTGGTCTTTGAGGCAACAATTACCAATTTATCTGGAAGTGCTTCCCCAGAGGTGTAAATTTCCTCTTGCTATGTTTAGATGCTTCAGGTACTGTATCATTTTTATCTTCTTGATGAAAATCTTACGGAATCTTGTGACCTGCTGTGATCTGAACAGCCTCTAAGCCTGATAAATCACTGGAGTCTCTCTTTGACTCTCATCTTGAGGATTCCTTTTGGGTCTTGGTTTGCATCTTGTCTCTTCTACCCTCTTTCTTGTATTATTCCTTTATTTTACTGAAGCACCTCTTCTAATAGTTTCTTGAGGAAAAAGTGCATAGGAGGTAAATTTTCTTAGGCTTTGGAAATGTTTCCATTGACTGCTCAAACTTAACTTATAGTCTGGCTGGGTACAGCAGTGTAGATTGAAAGTAATTTTCCTTTAGAATTTTGAAAGCTTTGCTCCATTGTTGTCTTATTGCTATTGAGCGGTTCAGTGGCATTCTGAGTCTTGTTCCTTTGTCCAAAATGTTTTCTTTCTCTTTGGAAGTTTTTTTTTTTGTCTTCAGTGTTTTGGTGTTTCATAATATGTTTGGCAGTGCATCTGTTTTCATTCCTTACATATGTGCTTGAGACACCCCTCTTGTGTAGGGGTGCCTCCCATCATGTCCCAGGGAAATTTTCTTGTGTTATTTTGTTGATCCTCTCCTTACCATTTTCTTCTTTCTCTTTTCTCATGTTTGTCTTTAGACATTGGACCTTTTAGACTGGTTCTCTTATTATTATTTCTCTTTGATTTTCCATGTCTTCTGGGAGATTTTCTCAACTTCATTTTCCAGGTCTTCTGTGTTCTATTTAACTTTTAATTTCTTCTGCTCTGTTTTTACTTCTAAGAGAGACTTTTGTTCTTGGCTCTTAGGTTAAGGTTTCCTTCCCCCTGTACATGCGATGTCCTGCAGGTTACTTTCTCCATCCCTTTGGCACCTATCTTTGCTTTAGAGGCCCTCCTCTAGTGTCTGGTGATTCCAGTGTCCCATTGGAAATTTTATGTACCTTGGTGGGTCTTGTTTACTATGGTCGTTAAGTAGGGTGGTCTGGCTAACCTCTTCTTTGGGAGAATCTCTGGGTCAGTATTTTTCATTCTGATCACATTCTGGAGAGAGTATCATCTGCTGATGTTCTGGGACTGGGTTGGGGATGTGGGCGACAGAGGTCTCAGCGCTTGACATGAAGGCTTTCATTTAAGCTTACTGTTGGCTGTGAACTTCCTGCTTTCAGCTGTGCCTGTATTCCTCACAGAAGAGCCCCCCTTTTTTAACCCTTTCTGAACCAGTTTTCTGCTGGGCTTAGGGAATTGCCTGTGCTGAGCAGGGGGCAGAGCAGACTTTCAGGGGTCTTCCTAGTTCTGCACCTGCTTTCACTCTTACCTCCTGAGGCGGTAGGCATTGCCAGGCCCTGAGACTTTTAGGGGTGGTGCGGAGAAACCTGGGCATCTTTTTGGCTTTTCTTGCTGTTGGCTTAGGATTCAGTTTCTCTGGTCTGCTAAGTCAGTTAGCACTTGTACATCTGTTTTCTAGCTTCCAGCGTTTCTCCCATTATTTTTTTCCTAGTGGTTTATGTCTTTTGCTTTTATTTTTTAAAAATAATCCCATAACTGTATTTCAGTGAGTTTTGAGATGAGATTAGAGACTACTTTAAGCCCTGTCTTTACCCAGAAATCCCAGTCATGAGCTTTTCTTCATTATACTATTATCTAGAACTGATTTTATTTCCTCATAGTTATAGTTCACTTTTTAAATACTTATTTTGCTTTCCTAGGTGCCGACCTTTACAGTTTCAGCCATCAAAATCTCACAAGAAGGTTTTGAAAAAAATGTTGAAATTTCTGGCTAAAGGGGAAATTTCAAAAGGAAATTGTGAGGGTAAGATGAGATGGCGGCTAAGAACTATTTATTTTAAATAGATGTTTCTTTCCAAGGTTCTCACTTTCGCTCATTTCTTAGGTAGGGGAAGGAGGCCCCACTACAGTCAGGAGCTACTGTTACTGTGATGGTGATGGCTACTCTTAGCTCTGCTCTTAGACTGTTACCACTGGCTCCCAAATCAGGGAGATGGGGAATGTATGCCAGGGAGAGTCCAGCTTGGGAGGAAGACAGGACCTTTGTAAAGATGTCATTTCCTGGAATTTATTGAAATCTTAGTTTTCTTGATTCTTTGAGAATTCTTTATTTTCTTTGACCCTAATGATACCTTGTGAAGTAAATAGAAAGTGATACTGTCTCTGGGCTTCCCTGGTGGCTCAGCAGTAAATAATTTGCCTGCAATGCAGGAGACCCAGGTTCGATCTCTGGGTTGGAAAGATCCTCTGGAGGAGGGCATGGCAACCACTCCAGTACTCTTGCCTGGAGAATCCCATGGACAGAGGAGCTTGGCATGCTACAGTCCATAGGGTAGCACAGAGTCAGACACGACTGAGGCGTCTCAACAGCAATAACAGCACTGTCTCTGGAGAAATAAATGCTTGTATACAACTTAAATAAGATTGCATAATTATTTATAATGCAGAGTAAAGCTCAGATTTTTCATGTTTGAGTAAAGTCTTCAGTAAATTATATTGCCTGAAACTGAAAAGTGGAAGTCGCTCAGTCGTGTCCAACTCTTTTTGACCTGGTGGACTATATAGCCATGGAATTCTCCAGGCCAGAATGCTGGAGGGGGTAGCCTTTCCCTTCTCCAGGGGATCTTCCCAACCCAGGGATCGAATCCAGGTCTCCCGTATTGCAGGTGGATACCTTACCAGCTGAGCCACAAGGAAAGCTCAAGAATATTGGAGTAGGTAGCCTATCCCTTCTCCAAAGGATCTTCCCAACCCAGGAATTGAACCAGGGTCTCCTGCTTTGCAGGTGGATTCTTTACCAACTGAGCTGTGAGGGAAGCCCTGATAATAAGAGTTCTTACCTTGCCTGAAGCTTTCTTTTTTCTTTTTTTCTTATGAATTTTGAATTTGGGTGTATTTCCTCAAATTTCCTAGTAACGTTTAATTAACTTGGGTTTCTTTGCTTTTTCAGTTTTTTCAGTGTTTTGCTGTTTTTTCTTTTTTCTTTTAGCATTTTCCCATAGGCACTCCCTAACACATGACCATAAGAATTGGGAGTGCTGCCCATCCTTAGAGCTCTTTCTCATTTCTCCCATAAGAAATGGCCTACCCTGGGAGCCTCCCACTCCAGTGTTAGCTTGTTAATTCATCCCCCAAGTATGTTTTGAATGCTTACAATGTCCCAGTCCCTCTTTTAAGCACTGGAGCTACAGTGGCCAGCAAAACAGGTACGTTCTTTGCCCTCATGCCCTGCCCTTTACAGAGCAGGATTCAGGACAACTTGGAGCAAACTTGGCAGAGCTGGGGTGAGAAAGAGGCCAGAAGACTCCGGGTCATACTGAAAACATCACAGTTTTGTGTAGCTCTGCTTGGTATTGTCGGTAGGAATCACGTTCTGAGTTTCAAAGGTTAATATTCAGATATGTTTTGAGGATACTGTCCATTTGTAAATTGAGGACTACCTGTCTTTTTATGTAGTTTTTACATTTGGTTTTTTATTTGACTTGTTGTAGGCTTTTGAATTATTTATGTCTGCAACTTAATTCATAGGAGTGATGTATTCATTAGGATAAAACTAAATAACTGTAGTGAGGAGACACCAGAATGCAATGACTAAAAATTGATACAAGTCTGTTTCTGTCCTCACATCACAGTCCAGAGTGGGTTTTCCAGGTTGGCCTGCAGCCCCACCCCCACCCCCGCCACCCCCTGCCCCAGCAATTCTGGGTCTCTCTTCATGTAATTTTTGAGGTCACTCTGGTTTTTACTAATCTAGCCAGTGGGGAGGGGAAAGGGTGGAAGTTCAGGGTCACAAATTTCCTTTAAAACAAGTGAGGCAAAATTGAACATGTCAGTTTGGTTCTATGCCACTGTTGGGAGCTTGGTTACAACCCGTGAAGGGACTGGCACATTCCCTTTCCAGGGCCCCACTGTCTTCACCATAGCCCTGACTCTGCAAAATGGGAGAATGGACTTGGTGGACACTCAGTAGTCTCTGCCACATTGGGTAGAAGAGGGCATGTTTTCCATATATGTCTCTTGGTTGTGTCAGATGGCCTGGGTGATGGACTGTGATTTCTCTTTGATTTGTAGATGAGCCCATGGAGCCCACCGTGGAGGATGCTGTTTCCAGTGACTTTGGATTAATAAATAAATTGGATATACACTGTGACCTTAAAACACTCAATGATGACCTCAGAAAGAGCTTAGAGAGTGAAGAGAAGAAGAAAGCAAAGAGGGAAGAATCTAATGAAATAACCCATTCACAAGATATGAAAGAGAAGTTGGGCTCTGGTGAACCATCGTGTTCAGTTAAAGTGCATACAGCTCCTCAACCAGGTAGTAGAAGTTTTTCATCAGGCCATATTAAAGTCAAGATTGTCTTTGTGCTTGAGACATCATCATCCATGAGCCCTCTCATGAGCTAAAAAAGTGAAACACTCAAGAACATGGATCCCTGTTTTGTACACCTTATTATTACCTGAATTTAGATGAACAAATTGTTTAAAAAACCTGAAATAATAGCCTTATCATCCCCTAACACAGACATTTTAAGAATTCCATTTCTTTTTACTACCTTAAGGCCCTGGAGGTTTGAGAATCAAACTTTTGTCTGTGAGAAGGTATGGTGCTAAACATGTTTCTTTTCAGTGTTAACCGAGACACAGTAAATTTTAGATACTATGTCTGAAGTATAGACATTGTGAAATTCTTCAGTTTGCCATTAGATTTCTTTGTTTGTGTTAGTTGCTCAGTTGTGCCCAACTCTTTGTGACCCCGCGAACTGTACCCTCTGTTCATGGGATTCTCCAGGCAAGAATACTAGAGGGGATTGCTGTTTCCTTCTCCACAGGATCTTCCTGACCCTAGGGATCGAATACGGGTCTCCCTGCAGGCAGATTCTTTATCATCTGAGCCATCAGGGAAGCCCACTAGATTTCTTTATGTAAGCATAATTAATTTTAGTTAAAAATTATCCAAATTAACAAAGAATTTCCAGGGAGTTCCCTGGTGGTCGAGTGGTTAGGATTCCAGGCTTTCACTGCTGTGGCCTGGGTCCAGTCCCTGGTCAGGGAACTGAGATTCTGCAAGCTGTGCAGCCAAGAAAAATAATTCCACATTTTGATATTTAATTTCACCTTTAATAAGGTGAGACTTCTTTCTGTATTACCACTTATAAAAGAATTAGGCTTGGAAAATTTATCCAACATTAAATGGGTTTATTACATATATGCGTGCTGTATATATGAGTCTTTCAAAAAATTTCATTAAATGTCAATTTGCATAGTTGGTTCTTGAGTTTTTTCTTGTACAAAATAATCCAACTGAGAGATTTTTTAGTATTAGTTTTTTGTTTAAATTATATGTGTTAAAACACAGTATACTCTGAATTTTTTTTTTTTAAGGTTTCATGGCATTTACATTGCTGGTCTGAGATTTTGTCCTAATTGATAAGAATAGTCCAGTAAAATGTTTTGAATGATTTAAATAATTTCTTTCAACTCTTACTCTTTTGGTCATTACAGTCAGTTTGTTTACAATTTTTATTGTTCATTATAATAATTGCTTACATAATTTGAAAAGCCTTCATTTTGGAGAATTTTGGAGGCAAATGTAGACTGAATATCATAATGAATTTCCATGGAGCCTACCCTCATTTGAAACATTATTGACTCATGATGGCAGTCTTTTTTTTTTTTTTTTCTTCTAGTTTTATTGGGATATGGTTGACATAAATTTGAGAAATGACACATTTCTCTGGCCAAAGAAAATGAATTTTCTAAGGCAACAGAGTGATGGCTAATTATAGAGGTTTTTGTTACTGGTTTATTAAAAGTCTTTTTTTTAAAGGTACATTTTGTTTTTAGTTGGGTTAATGAAGTTGTAATTTGGTCTCATTATCACTATTTTCTCATTAAACTAGTTTCTTTTGACCAGGTCTTGATCTCTGACTATCTCTTAACACTCTTGGTCTTCATTTTCTTCTGTATAAAATTGACTTTTATATGATTTGTGAATACTGTGTTTCAGGATCCTAAATTTTTATAAAACCATTTTTCTTTATTAGTTTTAAAAAATGAAAAAATTATGTGTAATGTTAGAAAATTGGGAGAAAAGAGAACACTACAAAAAAAAAAAGGAGAAATCCTTTATTTTTAAACTGTTAAACATTTTTAACAGTTAAAATGGCTGTTGATGTGGTGGTATATTTCAGACTTTTTCCCACGTATTTAATTGTATAATATATAATGTTTCAACAGTGAATAATGACAGAACCCCTAAAATTTCTAAAGCATTTAAAATGGCTGATATTCTGTTGCTTATTTTAAAAATTATGCAGTTGTTCTGTAACTGGGCATCTTGATTATTTTGAAGTTTTCATTTGTGTTCATTGTTAGCCTTTATCTCTTGTGATTTTCTTGGAATAGATTCCTTGAAAATAGCTTCCTAGATTAAAGGGTACTGACTCAATTTTGTAGTTCTTAATAGTAAACTTTTTTTATAGTTTAAAGTGTTGTCAGCTTGATATTTGCTCTTTTTAATTAAAATTAGGGGCTTCCCTGGTGGCTCAGTGGTTGGGAATCTGCCAGCCAATTCAGAAGACGTGAGTTTGATCCCTGAGTCAGGAAGACACCCTGGAAAAGGAAATGGCAACCCACTCCAGTATTCCTTCCAGGATAATCTCATGGACAGAGGAGCCTGGTGGGCTATAGTCCATGGGGTCTTAAAGAGCAGCCTGAAAAGTTTCTGTTACTATTTACTTTCTTTGGCAGTTCTAAGATAAATTTAAAGATCAACTTAGAGGTCTACACCATGAAGCCTCTGAAACCTGCACTCAGAGCTAACCTAACAATTGGAACTCTTTGGACTACTTCTGTAGAACCTTTGAGATTTTTGAAAAATATTTCTGGAGCCAAATGTGATTGATCTGCTGTTTTAAAATTCCTTTTTAGGCAGAGGAGCAGATTTGAGTAAGCCTCCATGTCGAAAAGCAAAGGAAATCAGGAAAGAAAGGAAAAGGTTAAAACTCATGCAGCAGAACCCAGCTGGAGAATGCGAGGGCTTCCAAGCTCAGTGTCAGCCCTCATCTTTGCTCCCACCAAAGACTAAATCCAACCAACCCAAGTCACTTGAAGATTTAATTTTTGAATCTTTACCAGAGAATGCATCACACAAGTTAGAGGTACCTTGGAGGACATTTTTTTGTTTTTGTTGATTACCTTGTTTCTTTTCATTTGAGGATTATACAGTTGATGTTTTGCTGTTTATATAATGGGAAATTAAAGTGAACTGGGATGGAGTGGCCACTTAATATTTACTGAGTTAATTGCCTCTTAAGGAAAACTTTTTTTTCTTAAGATTTAAAAAGGTGGCTACTAAAGTTGTGAAAATTCCAGTTGTAGTGTTACTGTTATTTGAGGTACTCTGGCTTTTTGTACACCTTAAATTGAAATTTATTCATTAGAGTGAAAAATTTTAAAATAATTTATTTAAAATTTCATTTTTGGCAGTTTTGGTTTAGATAGTGAAAGAAATGGATCACAGTAGGTAAATCACTGTTTCATTGATTTTGATATTCTGGTCTTGATCAAGGGAACAAATGGTATTACGTATGCAAGCCAGCAGTTTAGACATTATAAATATAAATATGTCTGAATTTAGACAGTTTAGACATAATATGAATAGTTTTAGAGTATTATTCTTATTTTTCCCAAGTCAGTTTACATTCCAGGTTAAGTCTAGGTTTTTCAGTATTAGTTTGGTATATTTATAAAATTTTTTTCTGTAACATTTGCCATGATGACTTCATTATATTCTCCTACTTGATTAGTAACTGGTCAGCCTTTGAATTTATAGCTTAAAGTCATCTAAGAATATCACTTATCACTGAAAACCTGATGCTAAAAATTTACTTTGATGCAGTTTAAACCTTAGGACAGTATATATTCTTAGACATAAGTTTTGACAATTTTGATTATTATAATTCCTTGGCTGCTGTGTTTTGGTATTAACTTTCTCCTTCCCAAATTGTAAAAAGAATGGAACTCACCACTTAAAATACTTTATGAAGAGTCTTTTAGCTTTATTAGTAATGTATTCAGGGCAGCAGGTTTCACCTAATACAACACTTCTTCAGTGGGCAGCTTTTAGTTTTTTAATTAATTGGAGGATAATTGCTTTACAGTGTTGTATTGGTTTCTGCCATACGACAGTGTGAATCAGCCAAAAGTATACCTGTGTCCCCAACCTCTCGAGCCTCCCTCCCACCCCTGTAGGTTGTCATAAAGCACTGGGTTAAGCTCCTTGTGTTATAAGCTTTTATTTTTTTAATATGACCCCCAGAATGGATGGATTTTTCTTATCCACTAGGTGTCACTCTTTCATGAGAACAGCCCCTCATGGCACAAACAAGAAGTTTCCAGATAGGCTTCTATTACATTACATATGATTTTGTATTTTACTCTTCTGTTTTGCTAACATATTTTAACTGGTTAGTAAATAAGATTAAAGAAATGTCATCTGTTAACTGTGTATAGTTACCACTTGTAATGCATCCTCATTTTACATATGAGGAAACTAAGGCACTGAGAGGTTAATTTATTTACTTGACTAAAATGATAACTTTGAGATTTGAGTACAGGGAGCCTGACTTTAGAGTCTTTTTAAAGTATGCTATGGAATAGGAACAGTTTTTGAAAGTTGTCTTTTATACTTACATTAAAAAGTTGTAAGTTTAGAGTTAATGGTGTATGAGTGAGTGTCCAAAAAATATATTCACATTTTCAGTCTTTTGAATTGTTTTACTGAAGGTGAGTTGTGTACAGCTAATATTAAAGAGTATTTGTGTGTGTCTCTGTCTTGAATGCCAGAACTAATCTGTTGTTTTATAGCTGAGGCAGTCTTACGTAATTCAGTCAAAGAGATTAGTCTTAGAATTTGGGCAGGAACCTCTGCCTTGTTAATGAGTCTATAATTTGGAAAAATAGTATTTTTTCTCTATTTATTAACAGTTGATCTTTAGAGTTAAAATATTGCTGTTACATGTTTCTGCTTTAATATTTGTATTGAAACTTTGGGGTCTTTGAGGGTGGGAGTAACTGTTAATGCATATTCCATGGAATAAATAAGTGAATTAATGAACATTGTTTTTTACCTCCTTCTGAAGGTGAGGGTGGTGAGATCATCTCCACCAAGTTCACAGTTCAAAGCCACATTTCAGGAGTCTTACCAGGTCTATAAACGTTACCAGATGGTTGTTCACAGGGACCCGCCCGATAAACCAACTGTGAGCCAGGTCAGCAGGGCAAGTGTAATGTTTCTGAACAAATGAAAATTCCCCTCTATTTGATATCACTGTGTGAATTCTTGGTTTATTTGTGGTGCATTTTATTTATGTTCAATTTGCAGTATATCTGCAAAGAGATAGGACTGTGGGATAATGGACATTCTGAAAGTGCAGATTTTACCACAGGCCATGTTAAGTGCCTTTTATGTATAATTTCAACATGGGAAATGTTGAATCACCGTGTTTAAATCACCGTGTTAAAAATCACCCTGTTTAGATGCATTTACTTAAGACTCAGTGAAAAACAGATCTCTAAGTTAAAATATTTATTGGAAAAAAAAAAAGTTTAAAAAAAATCCCAGTTTTTCTGGTAGCCATACTTTGCCCAGCACAGTTAACATGCTTTATCTCCATGTAGACATCATGAATAGAGAGAGGTCCTAATAGCTAAATTACTCTTTGTTGGTGTACAGGCCATATACAACTGAGTAGGACTAGAACGGATAGTAGAATGTTTTAATTGATGTTCTCATATGAAGTCCTTGATTTGTAATTTTGTAAACCACATTACCCAAGAAAAATCTGGAGGGGGAAAAGCCCTTAATATAAGTAGAAGTGACAGAGCTAGTGTCAGTTACCATGGGCAACAATATTGATTCTGCTGTATGCAGAGAGTTAAATGGATAAAGGGAGAAATTAAACCAAAGAAATTGTCCCGGCCCTTGTGAGTTTAAATTTTTCATAAATATCGGTGTAAAGTTCATGCATCAGGCTCTGTGCTCGTCAGCCTGTTCCAAGGTTTACTCGTTTCATGAACAACGCCAGTGCTGAGCTTTGGCAGTGGATTTGCGGAGATCTTACTCTAGCCTCACCTTCAGAAGCATATCATCAGTAGAGATGTTTCAATAGCATTTGCTTGTATTTTCCTTGCTCTGAAGGTGAGGTTAGTACCTGTCTCCTTTGAGGACCCAGAGTTCAAGTCGTCCTTCAGCCAGTCATTTTCTTTGTATGTCAAGTATCAAATGGCCATACACCAGGATCCGCCCGATGAATGTGGGAAGACCGAGGTACCGTTCACTAAACGTTTTTTCCTATGCTGAGGTTGTCTATGAAGGAGCATACTGTATAACCTTCTTATGCCATTTTCTTATCTGTTAAGTGGAGCTGATGGTTCTTGCAGGGTGTATTCCTGAACTTTTGTGAAAACGAGTCATACATGTGATCATTTTAAATCCCTCAGACAGAAAGGATGTGTCCTTACTCAATGTTCTCTCCAGGAGCCTGAGTGTCGCGTGTTTATAGACCAGTCGTCGGGCTGTCAGCCGACGTCACTGCATGCACCGTGTGTGCCAGGCTGTGCCACAGCCCACAGTGGGGCGTCTCTGTCTTCGAGGCATTGATGTTCACACGGGAAAGATGAACCAGTGAACAAATACAGCTTAACAAGAAGCACATGGAAAAAACCGAATACGTTGAGGTCGTTTCAGTTCAGTTGCTCAGTTGTGTCCGACTCTTTGCGACCCCATGGACTGCAGCATGCCAGGCTTCCCTGTCTATCACCCAGGGGTGAGGTTGTATAGAGCATCATTTGACAAGCCTTTGTTGAGGGCCTGTGTTTTCTAGCTGCAGATATTTAGATGAGTAAGAGATTGCATACTTTTCACAGTTGGACAGTGATGTCTTCAAAGAAAGATGCCAACAGACACAGAAGGATTGAAGTTTTGATTTTTGTGTCTTTTTAATGACACAATGTGTTAGCTTAAAAAAGATGGTTAATAGGACAGGAGTTAATGCTGCATGTTCCCTGTGAGAAGGCTGACTCTGGGTCTCCCAGAGCCTTTCTAGTTAAAGTGTAGTCTGCAGACCAGCAGCATCAGTGTCACTGAGAACACAGAATCTCAGGTTTCCCCTCAGACCTACTGAATCAAAGTCCGCATTGTGAACTAGGTCTCCAGGTGATTTCATATGCACATTCTGATTTGAGAAGTGCTCCCACAAATTCCCTGTTGAGACCCGTAGCTGTGGGTGGTAGCATTTATAGATAAGGATTCTGCCAGGTGCAAGAAGGTCTCCTTTGATACTCTCAGGAGGTCTTAATTCTTTTCTGCACGTTACTCTTTCCTACTACCCTTGAGATTCTGGCCTTGTGCCTTCCTGCTTCCCAGGTATGGATAGTTGGGCAAAAACACATCTGATGTGTTCCCACTAAACCTCAACTGCTCCCCCTGGCCCCGACTCCGTTTTTGGGCTTCAGTCCTCTATGGGGTCCATTCCATTGGGGAGACAGATGGGTAAGCAATTCCAGTGCTGTTCGAGTTAGCTGGTGGATTAGTAAGGAAAGCCACCTTAGTGTGAGACTGAAGTGAGAGAGGATTTTCTGAAAGAAGTGACATCTGAGCCAAGTCCAAAAAGATCAGTGCCACTTAACCTCCAGGCAGGCTCTAGGGCAGTGTTATATTTAGGCTCAAGGTATATTTGAGGATTTTTAAAATAGCTTATGTTTACATTCACTACCATCAGCAGTACGGAACTCTGAATATGTGATTTGATCTTTTTTTACATTGAAATAATAGTGTATTTCTTTATTATAACCAAATCAGCTCAGTTCAGTTGCTCAGTCATGTCCGACTCTTTGCGACCCCATGGACTGCAGCATGCCAGGCTTCCCTGTCCATCACCAACTCCAGAGCTTGCTCAAACTCATGTCCATCCAGTTGGTGATGCCATCCAACCATCTCATCTTCTGTCGTCCCCTTCTCTTTCTGCCTTCAGTCTGTCATGGGTTTGCCTTAATGATTCATTTTATAGGATCACATAGAAAATTCATACTGGTGGGAAAGTTTGTGATTGTTTAGTACTTTGATTTCATACAAGTGAGTATATTTAGCTTTGATAAATTTTTTAACTTCATTCATAGAGTTTTATTTATCTTGCGTCTAACTGAATTCATATGGAGTTTTCAGAGATATTTGAAATGATACTGTTTTTCATATGGGTCAGTTTGTCATGTCTCTGAATGTAGTTTCTAAGAAGTAACATGAGATAGCATTTTGTAAGTCAAGACTGTGCTGTGCTTTTATTTCTTTATAACAGTTTTGTTGTTGTTTAGTCACTTAAGTCGTGTCTGACTCTGCGACCCCATGGACTGCAGCACACCAGGCTTCCCTGTCCTTCATTGTCTCCCGGAGTTTGCTCAAACTCACGTCCATTGAGTCGATGATGCCGTCTAATCTTGTCATCCTCTGTCATCTCCTTCTCCTCCTGGCCTCATTCTTTCTCAGTATTGGGATCTTTTCCAGTGAGTTGGTTCTTTGCATCAGGTGGCTCAGTTATTGGAGCTTCAGCTTCAGCCTCAGTCCTTTCAATGGATAGGGTTGATTTCCTTTAGGATTGATTGGTTTGATCTCCTTGCTATCCAGGGGACTCTGAAGCGTCTTCTCCAGCACCACAGTTCGAAAGTATCAGTTTTTCAGCACGCCGCCTTCTTGATGGTCCAGCTCTCATAGCTGTACATGACTACTGGAAAAATCGTGCTTTGACTATATGGACCTTGGATGTATAATTCACGTAGTATACAGTTTACCCATTTGAAGTGTATGACTGAATGGTTTTTAGTATATTCAGAGTCATGCAGCCATTATCACTAACGCCAGAAGGTTTTCATCATCCAAAAAAGAAACCTCATCCCCAGAGTGGGCACTCATTATCCTTCAGACATCCCAGCTCTAGGCGACCATATTCCACTTTCTCTTCCTGGATTTCTTTAATCTGGACAGTTCAGGTAAATGAAATTGTATCCTACTGGTCTCTTGTTGACTGGCTTCTTTGCTTAGCATTTTTGCAGGCTTCATCCGTGTGGTAGCGTGTGTCAGTACTTTACTCCGTTTTGTGGCTGGATAATATTTTGTTGTATGGATGTACCAGAGTCTGTTTCTCTGTTCATCCATTGATGGCCATTTGGGTGGTTTTCATTTTGGGCTTATATAGAAGGCTTTGCTATGGATATTCATGGGCAGGTTTTTATTATTAATGGGCATATGTTTTCATTTCTCTTGGGTATATACCTAGGAGTGGAATTGCTAGGTCATAGGAACGAATAAATGTAAATAAATAAATAAAAACTCTGTGTTTACCTTTTGAGGAACTGCCATACTGTTTTTCAAAGTGCTACCCTTTTTAAATTCTTGGTCATCTGAGTTGGTGTGAAGTGGTATCTCATTGAGGGTGTGTTTATTTTTTTTGGCTGCACCTCAGCACATCCCCCAACTAGGAACTGAATCTGAACCCGCTGTGTTGGAAGCGCAGGGTCTTAAGCACTGGACCACTAGGGAAGTCCTTTCATTGAGGTTTTGATTTGCAGAGGAAATGGCATCCCGCTCCAGTATTCTTGCCTGGAGAATCCCATGGACAGAGCCTGGCAGGCTACAGTTCGTGGGATCGCAAGAGTTGGATACAACTTAGCAGCTAAACCACCACCACCGATGGCTGATTATATTGAGCATCTTTTCATGTGCTTTTTGGGGCAGTTTGTATATTTTCTTTGAGTAAATGTCTGCTTACATATTTTGCCTATTTAAAATTTTTTGCCCATTTTAAAAAATATTAGAAAAATTTTAGATATTTTAAAGTAATAAAAATATTTTTTAAAGATTAGAAAATATCTTCCATTCTGTGGATTATCTATCTCTCTAGTAGGATTTTTAATTTTAAAATCTGTTTTGTTTGATATTGGTATAGCCATTCCATCTACTTGTGGTTTCTGTTTGCATGATATGTCTATACTATTTTATTGTCAGTCTATTTGTGTCTTTGAGTTTCAAGTATGTCTCTTTTAGTCACTGTATATTTAGATCTTGTTTTTTTGTTTGTTTTAATTTGGAGGGAGAGCAGTCTCTTCCATTTAGCTGAAGTGTTTAATCAATCCATATTTAATGTTGTTAATGATGGAGTTGGATTTATGTCTTCATTTCACTTTTGTTCTGTTTCATGTCTTTCTTCTTCTATTTCTT